TCTTTCTTTTAGAAAGAATAAATGATTTTTAATTATTTCAATAAAGTTTAGAAATTTTTTAATTTCTTCTTGGATTTTCTTTTCAGGTTCTTCTAGTATTAATCTCAATAATCCTAGAAAGTTTGGTGATATGCCTAATAATCTTTGTTCCTGATTATTAGATTGATTTATAAGTTTTCGAGTAATAATTTGATTTCCTTTTGTAATAGTTTAATAGTTTGTTCTTGTATCAGATCTTCATCTAGAAGATAGTCAATTCTTTTATTTATATCATTATTATTTAGTACTACTGTTGGTAATAGTAGTTTTTCTTTTAATTTTGTTTAGTCAATTTTTCCTTCTTCAAATTGTTCAAGTAATTGTCTTATTTCTTTGAGAAATTCTTTTTTTTGTTTTTTGTTATGGTCTACTTGTACTAGACTTCTTTTCATTAAAAGGTCAGATTGTCTCTTAGTCCTTCTTTAGGATTGTAGATTTCAATTGTTCTTGGTTTAAATCCTATGATATCTACGTAGTATATGGTATAGTTATTTAGGTATCTTGGTATAAAGTCGTAGTCAAATTTTCTTTCAAGTTTTTCTTTAATATTATACCACTCTAGGTATATTTTTGAGTCTAATATTTGGTTAATATATCCTTTTTTGGTTTCAAGGTAATCTATTGTTGCCAAATAAGTTATTAATTCAGTTTCAAATATTTTGAATTCCTCTTTTGGAATTGTTGTTGTTAATTCGATTTGTTTAGTCCTCTCTCTTATAAAAAGTTTGGTCCACTCTAATAGCTTGTATTTCTTTACAATTTTACTAATATTTTGTAGTACTATTTGTTGGTTAAGATCGATGTATTGTTCCTGATAATTGGTTCTTTGTTTATAGATTTTTGGTTCCTCAATTAGTTCTGTGATATTTTCAATAGATCTTGGTGGAGACTTTTCTAGAAATTTCTGTTCTGATGATTTTCAATTTTCTTGTTTATTTTCTAATAATTCTTTATCAAAAGATCCTGATGGTTCTATTTGTAATGTTATTCCTTTTAGTAGTTCGTTAAGTTTCTTGTTTTTGTTAGATATTATTAGTTTTTTTAGGTATTGTTTGAATAATTGTACTACTGTTGTAGTTTGTTGTTCTATTTCTTTTTCTAGTCTTAATTTATTTTGTTCAGTACAATTTCTGTTTTCTTTTATGCATAAGAAACACTTTGTTTGATTATTCTTTTTTAAACAAAGTCTTTTTTTTTTGTCCACACTCTAAACAGGCTTTTATTTTCCTTTTATGTTTTTTAACTTTTAGGCTTGGTTTTATACTTTTTCTGAAAGGATAGATGTAGTTGGTTCCCTTC